CCCCGCGGCCCGGTTTGTCGCGCTCCTGGGGCGGCTGGCGGCCAGGGGAGCCGGGTGTCCGGGTGCCCGGCGCGGCGGAGGCTCGGTCGGCGGTGGCACCCTCCCTGCCCCCTCTGGTGAGCTCCTCGCTGCAGCGCCGCCGCCTCGGAGCTCGGATTTCTTCTCCCGGAACTTGGCTGTCCGCGCCGGCATTTGGCGCTCAGGCCCAATCTGGAGCTGTCAGTGCAGTTCGAGTTCGCGATTTATCTGCGCGCCCGGCCCGCGCTCCCCAGGGCTGCCTGCGCCATGGCTTGCGCTGCCCTAGGGGACGTATTTGGTGGCAGCCTCACTCTCTGGCACGCAGGTATCCGCCCAGCCCCTGGGGCCGCCTCCCCCTCAGCGGGCGGAAGGAAGTCTGCCTACCTCTGCAAGGAAGAGGAGTAAATTTGCCCCCTGGAAGGCTGCCCACCCGGCCAGGCCTGTCTTCCCTTTTCCGGTTGAGGAGCTACGGACATCGCTGGACAGCCACGGTTCAGCTGTGCCTTCGGAGACCACTTTTCCCACTCAGGGTCTCTGATTCCACCCTTGTGAGAGAAAGAAGTCCTATGTGGAGCAGAAGCTTGCAAATGGGTACCCTAAGAGTCAAACCAGTTTGCAGATAGACATGAACGAGCTCCAATTTTATTTTATTTTATTTTTATTTGTTTGGAGACAAGGTCTCCCTATATAGTCCAGGCTGGCCTGGAACTCACTGTGGTCCTCCTGCCCCAGCCTTCTGAGTGCTGAGCTCACAGGCATGCACCATCACTCCCAGCTTTAAATTTTTTTGTGTGTGATATACTTAACATACAGTAAAAATGCGCGGACCTTAAGTACTTATTAGATGAATGTGTGTACCATGTAACCACCCTCAAAGCAAGATACAGAGCATTTCCATCACCCCAGAACACTCCCTCATGTCCCTTCCTAGTCAGTCTCCCCCATCACAAGCACTGTTGTCACTCTGCACATCATTCTTCCGGTATCTTGAAATTTTTGACCTGAGTGGGTAAAGGGGTATTCTCTACAGACGTCCACCGCTCCCTCTTGTCTTACCTGCCTGGCTCACTCTTGCTACCATTTAAAGTTTGTGATCCTCTAAGGGCTGGAAAAATTCTGCCTTTGGGAGTCCCGCTTACAGATAGATAATAAAAACTTTGCATTACTTTGGGAACCTAAAGTAGGAGGATCACCAGCTCAAGCCCAGCCTGAACAAGTTAGTGACCTGTCTCAAAAAGTAAAAAATGTAAGGGATGTAAGTCAGTGCAAAAGCCCTGGGTTCAATCCCCAGCACTCAAAATAAAACAAAAACATCTGTCACTAAAAGCCTGCGATTTGCAGTATACTGGTCAGGGACACTGGGACAGCACTTTGAGTTGAAGTTGACACGTGTGAGGAAGAACACTGCACAGGCGTGTGCCTTTTCCCGGGAAGAGGGTGGCCCAGGCGCCTGACTGGCTTGGGTGGCTGCTGTGGATGCCAGCCTGTCTTCTGCGGTGAGAGCCATGAAGGTGGTTCCTGGCAGCTCACAAGAGCAGCGGCTTCCTCCTCAGGCCCGTCTGCAGCAGGGTTTTGGGTATCATTCTAGACGCTTTGGCCCTCCCAACATGCTTTTGGTAAATTCATTCCTTTTCTGTGGAATCAGGTCAACAGCAGCTTTGACCACTTGTGGTGAAGACTAGTGACAGGCTTGTGAACCAGGGGTCGGGGGAGAGTGGGATCCTCGAGTCATTTTTAAGAAGCCCTCCAAGGAAAAGGGCCAGGCGAGCCCAGATGACCCTGGGGAAGGCTTGGTGTCTCCCGCAGAAGCGACAGAGCCTGGGTTTCTTCAGTTGCCGAGAGAAACCAATCTTTGCCCGTTGCCTTTGCACACGGGACATCTGGACAGGCCTTAGCTAACAGAGCGCCAGGGCAAACAGCACCCGTCTGACCACCTGCTGGGTACTTGAGCTAACAGCCCAGGGCATGCCAGGTCAGCTGTGGGAAAAGCTGTTTCTCTTCCATTGTGTTCCCCATCCCGCTGATGGGAGTGTGAATGCCTGGCTGAGAGTTCCCAGGAAGACAAAGCAAGCTGCAAGCCTCTCTAGGGGCCCCAACCCAGGGTCAGGGCTGCCCGCGCTTATCCGGAACAAGTGAGACCAGTCAGGGGGCAACTCGGGGTCCCTAAACTGCCCCCTGCGGTTTAGTTTTGGAGCTGACGTTCTCAGTGTGTCCTTTCCAACTTACCTATTTCAATCTAATTTTGAAACTGGGCCAGGGAAGACATAGCTTTTTTAGTTTCCCAAATGAGAAAAATCAAGATTAAAAAAAGCTGTTTACCTGAGCTCACACAGCTGGGCGTTTCTTGGGACACAACAGGCCCTCAGACGTGCACGGGATGAAGGGGAGTGACAGAATCCAGACCCTCCCCGAAGGGCACGGGACCGTGTGAGGAAAGGCCGGGCTCTCCTCCCGTTCAGCTGCCAGCTCACCTAACCCTCAGCGATCCCGCAGAACTCCAGAGACAAGTTCACTGGCGCCGTAAAACCTCCACCTCCCAGCTGGGCTCGGGAGGAACGTGGGCCTTCACAGTGTGGCTCCTACCCTTTGTCTGTGGGCTCATGAGATGTTATGAGCACAGCCATTTCTCATGACCAGCCCATGGGAAGCAGAGGTGTGGACACCGCCCTTTCCCCCTTCCGTACTGGAGACTGAATCCAGGGTCTCTGCATGGGGCTACCTCCCCAGTCCTTCTGAGACAAGCTCTCATTAATCACTAAGTTGCTCAGGCTGAGCTAGCGCTTGCAATCTTCCTGCCTCAGTCTCCCAGAATTCGGGGGTTATAAGTGCACCACCACACCTGGCTTCTGCTCTTGTACTTCAGCAGTGAATCAGATACAAGGCTCATTGAAACCCCTCAAGCCAGGAATGGACAGCAAAGCACTGCTTCACAGGAAATGCTGAGAGGGTCTCTCTGGGCTCACACCCCGAATGGGCCACAAAAGCTGTCAGTGACCTGGACGACAGGATCTCTCCCCACAGTGCCACTTTGTGCTCTCCTTGCCCCCTCCGTCCTGGATCCCACCCTCGGGCAGTTGGGCCATGCCTTTTCTGGTTGTTTCCAGGCGATGCCAAGCGAAGTGAGTGCTGCTACTCCGGCTGCTCTGAGCACCAGGGTCCATGTGCTGGCTGGGCCCAGCCAAAGCATCCCTGCAGCACCATGATGCTGATGCAGCAGGAAGATCTGAACTGGGCTGGGCTGGGTGTCTTCCACGGATCCTCCCTCCCTCCTCCAGCCTTGATTCCACAAGGGTGTGGCTCCACTGTCAGCTGACACAGCACCTCTTTGGGTTCCCGAGAACCTCCGCCCATCTTCCATTCTAGCACCTGTCTGCCTGCCTGGTTTGGGGTTTTCTTCTGTATATATATTTTTTTCTCGCTTTGACTGTGAACTCCTTCAGGACAGGAGCCAGGGGATGTAGTAGCACTCAACAAATGCTTCCTGAACTGATTCGTCTTCACTTGGCCTTTCACTGTTGTTTTCTGTTTTAATTCATCAACCCAATGGAGACTGATTCTCCGGCCCCTGGCTTCCCCTCTGATAAAACAATCTGTGGGTACTTGAGAATGAGTGGGAAGCCAATTTTTTCCTTTAATTTATAGTATTTTTTATTGGTATATTTTAGATACACATACTGATCACATTCATTATAGGGAGTTTGTACCTGTACATGATATATCTTGTTTCTTCTTTTTTCCCGTTCCCTTCCATTCCCTTCCACCCCTTCCTTTCCTTATTTAGAAAAAGCTTTGCTTCCATTTTTTCCCGTCTCTTTTTTTCTTATTCCTTCTTTCCTTCCCCTGCTTTCTCCCTTGTTTCCCTTCTCATCTCATCATTTTCTTCCTATTTCTTGGTCTCTATTATACAGTTTGGTCCTTATTTACACTTTTGGTTTCTCACACCAGAGAAACAGTGTTGTATATGTCTGGTTTATTGCACTTCAGAGTATGGCATTAGGGTGCATCAATATAGGCCGGGGATATAGCTCAGTGGCACAAGCACCTGCCTGGCAAGTGCAAGGTCCAGAATTTGATTCCAGTACCAAAAAAAAAAAAAAAAAAAAAAAAAGGAAAAAAAGTGCAATAATTTAGTTAGAAATGTCTCAACTTTATCCTTCTTTATGGAAGAGTAATACTTCATTGTACAAAAAAAACACATCTTTATCCATTCACTGGTTGATGGGCGTAGTTTCCAAGACCTGGCTATTATGAACCGTGCAGCTATAAACATGGGTGTGCATATATCACTGTGGTATGATGCTTTTAATTCTTTCTGAAAGATGCCAAGAAGGGGAATAGCTGGGTCAAATGGAACCTCTAGTTCTAGTTTTTTGAGGGATCTCCACACTGATTTTCACAGTGGTTGCCCCCATCTACCCTCCCACCAACAGTGGAGGAGGGTTCTTTTTCCCCACAGCCCCTCCAGCATTTGTTACTGGTTGATTTCTTCATAATAGCCGTTCTTTCTGGAGTAAGATGGAATCTCAGCATTGTTTTAATTTGCATCTCTCGAATGACCAGTGATGTTGAACATTTTTTCATATGTTTATTTGCTGTTTCAATTTCTTCCTCTGAGAAGTGTGTATTCATTTCAGATGCCCATTTTTGGACTGAGTCTTTAAATTTGAGGAATTCTGATTTTTCTGAGTTCTTTATATATTCTAGATATTAGTCCTTTGTTGGAGGAACAGCTGGTAAAATTTTTTTCTCACACTATGAGTTGTCTCTTCACTCTGTTGGTGTTTTCTCTTGCTGTGAAAGTTTTTATTTTTTTTTCTTTTTGAGACAAGGTCTTGCTGTGCAATTCAGGCTGGCCTTGAGCTCACCTTGTAGCCCAGGCTGGCCTCAAACTCGCAATGATCCTCTGCCTCAGCTCTTGAGTGCTGGGATTACAAGCGTGCACCACCATGCCTGGCTTGTGCAAGTTTTTTAATAAGATGAGATCCCAGTTGTTGATTCTTTGTGATAGTTCCTGTGTGATCAGGATTTTGTTCATTATGTCTGCCTACACCAATGTCAAGAGCTCTCCCTATTGTATCTTCCAACAGATTTAGTGTTTCTATTTTACTATTTTTTTTTTCAAAGTTGAGATACATTTAATAAGATTCTTACATGTCAAAATCATACTTTGCTCTTCTGGTTTAGGAAGTATGTTCAAGTTTGTGTCCAGAACTTGTCACAGCTTGACTTCCAGCTGACAGAGAGTAATCCTGTAGATACCAGAGGCACCACTGACCTGCAGTTGACCCCGCTGAATGCACCATCCCCACAGGTAAGTGCCCTCTAGGGCCAGGTGTGGCAGGACATCACTGTGTGTTTTAATATTTTTAGATCTTCAATCCATTTTGATTTTAGTTTAGTGCATAGTGAAAGATATGGGTCTAGTTTTAATCTTCGGCATGTGGAAAGCCAGTTTTTCCAGCACCATTTCTTTCAGTGAAAGTGTTTGGCTCCTTTGTCAAAGATAAGGTGGCTGAGTGTATCTGCAGTTGTTTCTGCATCTTCTATCTGTTCCATTGATCTTTGGGTCCATTTGTCCCCCCAGTACCATGCTGTTTTTATCACAGTAGCTTTGTAATATAATTTCAAGTCAGGGATTGAGATGCCCCCTTCCC